ACCCTGAGAAATAGGCCAGGTAGAGAGAGCTCATGACCTTGCATTCTGGGCATACAGGAACGCTCAAGGCCCATGGTGGACTGTTTCTGCCAGCAATCATCAGCCTCTCTGTGTCTCAGTTTCCTCGACTATAATCTAGGGGCAACAGTAGTGCCCTCCTTGTGGGGCTGTGGGGAGAAATATGAGACATAATGCATGTAAAGTGCTTACCATAGGAGCCTGGCCATAGAAGTGCTCCCTAAATTTTAATCACCATTATTAGGGGAAGTGGGAGGTGAAAACACGTTGTAGATGTCAGAAGGCTTACATGGAGGAGAGCTTCAAGGTTCCAGGGGCAAGGAGGAGGCTTCTCTGCTTACTTCCCACCTTCCTGCAATCATTCATGGCTTGTTAAGGTCATATCACACTGTCTCCCCTCCAAGAAAAGAGGAACAAAGATCTGCTTAATCAACATTGTGTCCCCAGGGTCAGCACAGTGCCTGGCACACAAAAAAGGCACTTAGAAATAAATTCTGAATGAATGAAAAAGTGAAGGCACAAGGTCTCTAAGCAAGCAGGAGGGTTTGGGATGAGAGGTCCTGGTGGAGGGACTGACCTTGAACAGGGCTATGCACCCTCCAGTGATGGACAAAAGGACAGAAAGGACTCAGACAGCTGTGGTCATGGCAAGGAGAGGGGGACTGACAGATCACCTTGGGGGTGAAGGGAGAAGTGATTCACAAGGTTGCCAGGCAACAACCCAGCTGCAGAATATCAATCTGCAGTGGGATCAACTGGCCACTTTCAGGAACTTTCCAGTGTACACGGAGAGGGAGACAGGCAAGGGTAGTGACATCCTCTGTCAGGAACTGGGGACCAGCCTGGCAGGTTCTGAAGCAGAAGAGGGGCAGCAATATGGGTGCATCCCACTGAAATGACAAACCATGAGCCAGGCTGGGAGGGAGGAAAGTGAGACCAGGAGGGGTAGGTGGGCTGTAAGGACCCAGGCAGGTAGAGGAACTGGAGCTCACAGGGAAGGTAGATTGAGCTTCTGGAGAGGTGGGACAGGACCTCCGGGTGAGGAGAAGCAGCAGTACTCAGAGCCCAAGGAGACTGACCAGGTTCACAGCTCCCTTGCCTCCTACCTGTGGGGCCTGGGGCAAGCACCTTCACCTGGCTGACCGTCACTTCCTCCATTCTAAAATGCACCTGTGTAAATACTTCTCTTACGTAGGTGCTTTTAGAATTATTTTCCCATTTAAAAAGCCACTATCTGACATGGCTAAACAAAATACTTTCCAATATTTTATTATAAAAATGTGCAAACACACCCTGGCTGGTGTTGCTCAGTGGTTTTAGCGTCAGCCCAGGCACCAAAGGGTCATGGGTTTGATTCCCAGTCAGGGCCATGTACCTGGGTTGCAGGTTTGATCCCCAGCCTCAGTTGGGGCAAGTGCAGGAGGCAGCCAATCTCTGTGTTTCTCTCCCTACACACATACACACACATCCCCACACCTTCTACTCTCTGAAAAAAGCAATGAACGAAATATCCTCAGGTGAGAATTAAGAACACCAAAAAATTTTTTTAAATGTTCAAACATACAGAAAAGTTGAACTTTAATGTGGGGACTCATATGCCACCGCCTTGCATTCATTTTCTATCGTTGCCCTAAAAATTACCACCAATTTAGGAGCTTCAGACAACACAAGTCCATTCTCTCACAGTCTGTAGGTCAGAAGTCCAGGCTCGGCGTGGCTCACTGGGCCAAAATCAAGGTGTGGCCACAGCTGCGTTCCTTCCTGAACACTCTGGGATGAATCTGCCTCCAAGCTCAGCTAGGCTGTCAGTGAACTCAGTTCTTTGTGGTTGTGGGGCCTCAGCTGCGGGCCCCTCTCAGCTTCTTACAGCCACCTGCACACCTGGTCCCGTTGCCCTCACCCTGCGATCTTCAATCCAGCAAGGGCAGGTGAAGTCTTTCTCATTCTCCGAAACTCTGACTCATCCTTCAACCACGTCACTTCTGCCTCTAAGCCAAAGAACATTCTCTGCTTCTATGGGCTCATCTGATTAAACTGGGCCTACTCAGATCATCCAGGACAAGCACTCTATTTTAAAGTCTATACCCTTAATTACATCTGCAAAGTAGCTTTTGCCATGTAACATCACATATTCACAGGCCCCATGGACTGAGGTGTGGACATCTTTGGGGGAGCATTATTCTGCCCACCACTACCGCCCCCTCCCCCCCATCCAGGAGAAGAAAGATCTCAGAATAGGCGGACAGAGACCTGAGATTGAAGCCCAGCTCTCCTTGGTCATGTGGACTCAGGACAGGGGTTGCTTCACCTGTCTGAGCCAGTTTCTTCATCTGTAGGATCGCAACACTAGCACTTGTGCCCTAGGATCATGGTAAAGAGCAATGGCATTCATTCATGCAAACATGCTTGGCACACAGCATTGTCATCACTGTGAGCACAGGTTAGGGTCTACAGGGAGGAGGAGGGGGCTGACCCCAGGGGCTGGGATCTGGTCTTCAACTTGGTAGACGCAGAAAATGAATTTCCTGGTCACCCGCAAGTCAAAGGGCTGGTTCCTGGATTCCACCCCCACCCAACAGAATTCAAGTCTTGGGTTCTGGTACAACCAGGACTCTGCTGAAAGCTTATAATTTCCCGTTACCACAGCAACACGAACATCTCTTTTCCCCAGGATGTGAGCAGAGCTGCTCCCCACCCTTCCCCCCAAGCCCCCTCAAAGTCCCTTTTGTCTCTGAGATTCTGTGATTCAATTGTGAGCACCAACGCCCCCGCTGTTTTTGTCATTTTCATTTATTCCACCTGCTGAGTCACTGAGACCCGCCCTGGATTAGGATGGTTATTTGCCAGAACCTTCGGCCACTGGTTGCCATGGACACCTCACAGACTGCTTCCTTCATCACTGGTCCATTCTCCACAAAGCGGGCTGTGAGCGTGGGTACCGCAGCCCCTTATCTGGAACCCAAGGGGCCTCGAAACTCCTCCAGACCGGGAGGGGCCCTGATGACGCATGAACAAAAGCAAAACCTCTAGTCCCAACTGCAGAAAAAGAAAAAGCCTAGGGCTAGTGACTTCCGTCCAAACCAGGTCGAAGCAGCAGTTTATCAAAGAGGTCAACAAGTGTTCCATTTGGTTTTCTGGAACATCTTGGACAAACCCTTTCGTTTCCTTGCTAACCATTTTAAGTCGCATTTTTATATTGAAAAGTGGTGAGTGCGTTATGCAGATGACTGTCTCCCCTTGAGCCTCGAGGTGCAGGAGCCTCAAGGAATTGGCTCTGGGTAGGGGGTTTGCAAGAGGTGGGGGTCGAGGGGCAGACCTGGGGAGATGCTGGGGTAGCTGCAAGCTAAAGCCAGCCCAGGGCAGAGGGCACAAGGAGAGGGGGCGATACTCAGGGGTTTCCAGGTAAGGGGTGAAGGAGGTTCAGAGCCAACCAGGACGCAGCCACTAGGCAGAGAGAGTGAGGCCATCAGCCCATGGCCCATTGCTCCTGATAACTACGGCACGTCCTGTTTGCAGAGGCCAGCAGAAGGGACAGGGGATCAATATGTCACTCTACATTCACACGGTTCCTGATCTTCAAACATCAGTATATGGTGAAATGTGCTTTCTCTGAATCTAAGGTCATTTGGTCCATCTGCTCCACCTGCCCCCCAAGTGGGAAATAGTCTGGGGGATAAGCACCAGGCCTCTGACCCTGAGGACATGGCAGGGATATTGTTCCTGACCCCAGGGAGCCTGTCTCCTGCTGGCCTTCATTCCCAGCTGAAGAACTGCCCCTGCCCTGCTCCTGCCCCTCACCATGACCTTCCCTTCCCCCCACATCCAGAGAACTGACTCTAAATGGCAGGGTGGGGCAGGGGTTCTTGTGCTGTGGGTGTCTGGCCTCATGGGAAAGGAGGGCTGGGAGGGGCCTTGAGGGCTTTATAAGGCAGGGCTGCAGCACCCAGCCCAGCAGAGGACTGAGAGGACCAGACCGACCTCAGCATCACCCGACTCCCAGCTCTGCAGGTGAGAGCACCCAGGAGGGGAGAGAGAGGCTGGGAAGAGGGTTGATGGGACCCCACACCGTCAAGGTACCAGGCTCACATCTCGGAGTCTCCAGGGCTTGGACCCTTCCCTTAACCCAGGGTCGAACTAGGTCTGGGCACTAGGACCCACCCTGGCTTCCCAGCCCTTGCCTTCAAGTTGACCTGCTGCTTCACCCAGGGCCCAGCCCTGACCCTTCATATTCACCCCAGCCCTGGGAGGTGAGACAAAGGCTAATCTCCCATTTCTCAGGTGAGAAAACTGAGACCCAGAGGGAGATGTGACCCAAATTATTGGGCAAGGCTAGGACTGGAACCCAGGGTTTCTGGACCCCATCTCAAACTCTTTCCTAGACCAGCACTGTCTAGGACATTCCATGATGATGGTAATACTCTGTATCTGGGCTGTCCGATACGGTATCCACCAGCCACACGTCACTGGAAATACGGCTAGTGCAAGGGAGGACCTTTTTATCTTAATTAATTTGAATGTAAAGAGCCACATGGGGCTAGTGGCTACCATATTGGACAACACACGTGGCTAGTGTTGGACACAGTGAATAGGTTTCAGGTCTCCCAAGGGATCCCATGTGGTATGTGATGCAGCTGAATGTATATGCTCCTTTGGTGTTACTTTCAAAGTCCACCTTAAATTACAAGACTGAAACCTCCACAGAGCTGCTCACATGGCCTTGAATTGCACATAACAGTTGAGAAACCATTCCTCTAGGTTTCAATTCCTCGAAGAGCAGAGTGGTCGCTGTAATTAGAGTAGATAAGGAGGAAAGGGGCAAGGGTTGGAGGCCAGAGAACTGGCAAGAACAGTCCACAAGTCCTCACAGAATTGCAGACCTGCCAGCAGGAAGGGGCCTGGAGTCCATGTGGTCCAGGCCCCTGACTCTGGGTGCCTGGATTGCCCCACCTTTCAGCTCGGCCCTTCTGTCCTTTGCAGGCAAGATGCAGCGACTGTGTGTGTGCGCGCTGATCTTGGCACTGGCTCTGGCCACCTTCTCTGAAGCTTCTTGGAAGCCCCGCTCCCAACTGCAGGATGTACCTTCAGCTCCAGGGGCCAAGAGGGGCCTTGAGCCACAATGGCCAGACCAGCTGGGCCCAGCTTCTCACCACCAAAGGCAGCTAAGGTTCCAGGGTCCCCCACACCTGGTGGCAGGTAGGAGCTGCTGATGGCCGTCCCTGCTTGCTTACCTAGCCAGTCTTGGCCCTGACCTCAGTCCCAGAGGCTAGGTGTCCTTCCCCATCCTCACCTCCTCTCCCACCTCTGACCTTCAGACATGTCCAAGAAACAGGGGCCATGGCTGGAGGAAGAGGAAGATGCCTATGGATGGATGGACTTCGGCCGCCGCAGTGCTGAGGAAGGGGACCAGCATCCCTAGAACCGAGCTTCAGAGCCCAGTCACCTCCCAACCCAGCCAGGCCTCATGAAAAACCAACTCAAATAAACTAGCTTCCAATGGATCACATTGTGTTGAGTGTCATGGGGCAAGGGAGGGGAGTTGGGGACAGGGTTGAGGCAGGGAAGAGAGTTGAGCACCCCTCTAGGGGCAGGGAGCATGGCTCATCTTTCTTGGTGTCCCCAAAGACTAACACCGAACAAGAATCTCCACATGTGTGGGGGAGAATAGCGGGTGGGGGTCACAACCTAGAAAGCTTTTCAAAAGACACGTCCAATCCTGACACCAACCTTTCAGTGCTCCCCATGGCACTTAGAGT